AACCAATTCCAACATATAACCGATTCCTGCAGGTAACCAATCACTACAGGTAACTGATCCATAGAGGTAACAGATTTCTACAGGTGATCCCAAAAGGTAAGCGATCCCTTCTGTTAACTGATTCCTAATGGTAACCAATTCCAACATGTAACTGATTCCTACAGGTAACCAATCACTACAGTAACTGATTCCTACAGGTAGCCGATTCCAACAAGTAACGGATTCCTACAGGTAACTGATGCAAACAGGTAACTGATTAAAACAGGTAACTGATTGAAACAGGTAACCAATTACTACAGGTAACTGATCCCTTCAGTTAATTGATCCCTTCAGGTAACCGATTCCAACAAGTAACTGATTCCTGCAGGTAACCAATCACTACAGGTAACTGATCCATAGAGGTAACAGATTTCTACAGGTGATCCCAAAAGGTAAGCGATCCCTTCTGTTAACTGATTCCTAATGGTAACCAATTCCAACATGTAACCGATTCCTACAGGTAACCAATCACTACAGGTAACTGATTCCTACAGGTAACCGATTTCAACAAGTAACGGATTCCTACAGGTAACTGATGCAAACAGGTAACCGATTCCAACAAGTAACGGATTCCTACAAGTAACTGATTCCTACAGGTAACCGATTCCAACAAGTAACGGATTCCTACAGGTAACTGATGCAAACAGGTAACTGATTAAAACAGGTAACTGATTGAAACAGGTAACCAATTACTACAGGTAACTGATCCCTTCAGTTAACTGATCCCTTCAGGTAACCGATTCCAACAAGTAACTGATTCCTGCAGGTAACCAATCACTACAGGTAACTGATCCATAGAGGTAACAGATTTCTACAGGTGATCCCAAAAGGTAAGCGATCCCTTCTGTTAACTGATTCCTAATGGTAACCAATTCCAACATGTAACCGATTCCTACAGGTAACCAATCACTACAGGTAACTGATTCCTACAGGTAACCAATCACTACAGGTAACTGATTCCTACAGGTAACCAATCACTACAGGTAACCGATTCCAACAAGTAACGGATTCCTACAGGTAACTGATGCAAACAGGTAACCGATTCCAACAAGTAACGGATTCCTACAAGTAACTGATTCCTACAGGTAACCGATTCCAACAAGTAACTGATTCCTACAGGTAACCGATTCCTACAGGTAACCAATCACTACAGTAACCGATTCCAACAAGTAACTGATTCCTACAGGTAACCGATTCCTACAACTAACAAATTTTCAGATTGTCACACAGTGCCTGATAATATACACAAAATGTATACAATTTGGGATAATTTATGTATTTTTTGATATATTTTATTCTACCTATTGTTTTTGCGCACCATTTCTGCTTGTGTTTGTTTTCATACAGATTTGTTTACCAAGATCTTTAATGGTTGCAGCACTGGTGTTGGATTAAATAGTGACATGGTTCATTTTTAACAGATATTTTAAGTTAGTATTTAAATACTGCATCACTTATTGTGTATTGTGTTTTCCATCCCCATTCGTTGTTTGTTATATTTTTCCTTAATCTCATTGAAATATGACAGGTACTCAACTCACAAACCATGCTATCCCCATTAGTAGCTGGAGGT